CATAGATCCACTCATCTTTTGATGCTGATTGAGAATATTATATTCTTTTAAGTCAAATTGTAATTTTTCTTATCGAAAACTATTAAATATCAGACGAAAACCCAAAAAATGATGATTTTGAAGAATTTTATTGGATTTTTGCTAAAAAAGACAACTTTTTTTTCTTAACCAAGCACATATTTGGATAGAGCATGAAAAACTGCATTGTTCTGCACAAGTTCGAGAAGGCGACAAAGTCAAATAGTGAAGCAATAGTGCTCAAACAGGAGGAGCACACCATGATTTCTACACAATTCTGCTCGTCATTTAATCATGTAGACTATCCAATACGATGAAATCTCACGATTTGCACACCATTAGATAGAGAATACTCGATTACCTATTTTCGACGTGTTTCCAAAAACTTCGAATGATGGACAAGATCTGCAGACGCTCGAAAACCTTTTTTCTGCTAAAAACCCAAATCTGAAGATATTCTCCTTCTCTGGCTTACCAAAAAGGTTTACACGAAAACCAAGGTGATATTCGTGATCAGCGTCCTTGACTCTATATTATGGCATGCGTTTCAGTCGAATCAGAGACAAAAAGTTTTTCAGAAAACCTATAGGGGGGTGCAGGTCTCAAAAACCTCGATGTCAAAGCAAGGCAAATGACTATGCCCATGTTGTTGCCCATAGCTTACTTGTTATCCCCATATGGTTTTTTCCTAAAAATTTTTTGGGGAGAAAAATGGCCTTATCGTCCCACGTCCTTTCTCACTTTTTGTCATAATAGCTCGACATTGCGATGGAAATGTGATGAAAAGAAAGGAAGCGTATTATATCTTGAACTATAGATCTGAAGTCCCTCTATCTAAATCAAAGGACAAAATCAAACTTTTATCTAGATGACAGGTAATTTTCATACCTTCTTTTACATGTTTTTCGAGAATAATTAGTTTTAAAAGGAATTTCTCTTACACATTATTGGAGAGAAAGATGTCCCTTAGTCTCCTCTTTTGACTGGTGAAAACTGCAGGTCTCTAGCTTGTTCCTGACTGGAGATATTCAAAAAACAGCGACGGACATTCTATTTTGAAACGGATAATAGTTTATGTTCATTGTGCACGCTCTTTTCTCTAAAAAATTCAGTTTTCTCTTTGCAAATTGATTATGTCTTATTCGTGTTACATGATTTAGAGTATCATATGGTTCGCGATAATTTTCTGGAAGTTCTTTTAATAATTCTTCGTATTCTTTATGAGCTTGTTCTAATTCTACAACTTTTGCTTGTCTCATAAGTGTGGTTAAATCTAGTTTTGTTCTTCGAAGTATGTTCTTCCATTGTTCTCGAAGGGGATTTAAATAGTTATTATCTGGTTTTAATTCTTTTGCATAAAGTTGTAATTTGTCAAATATATTCAAAGATGGTGGCGGCATGTTTTGCATGAATCTCATTTCTAATTTATCTAGTTGCAATTTAAGATCTAATGTTCTCATGAATTTCTCTTGTAAAGTTCTTATATGTTGTTGTTGTGCTGGTGTTGCTGCATGATTGATCTCTCTTATAGCTTTTCCCCTCATTTGATCTAATAAGAGGTTATCTAATCGTCTTTGGTCGCTTTTCTTTTTATTTTCTAATGTTTTTTTCAGTAATGCTTTTTACGAATGAAACTATTTGTGACCATTGATGTTCTGGAAAGGATGTATGCAATTTATTTTCTCTATCGTTCTCTAATATTTTTGCTTTTTTTTCGAGGAATTCTTGATGGATTTTTATTGTTTCAAATGTACATCTTTGTCTTATACGTTTGAAGTAGTATTTACATTCAATAGGTATGATCTCAAAATTATATGAACTATGTAGGATGATATTATTGTTCTTTGATACAACTGAAGGTGATCTTACTAATGGTGCTGGTGTTGAACTTTGTAGGGGTGATATCATAATTGAGGGTTCTTTAGTTGTTTTTTGAATTGGTGATCGCATTTCTGGTTGTTCTATTTCAATATGTTTTTCTAATGGGAGTAATGTGTTGAAAGAATATTGTTGTTTTCTATTATTCTCATTGCTATTAGTTGAGATTGGTGATGATTGAAGTGATCCTCCAACTATTGGGGCATTCTTGTCTCTTGGTGGCAATGTTTTTCTTGGTATAATTAGAGGAGGTTGTCTTGGTAGTGGTGGTGTAGGTGGATCATCTCGTCGATGTCCTAATTCTTGTTTTTGTCTTGGCATTGGTTCTGGTAACCATTCTTCAAAAATTTCTTTATAATCATTAAAATCTAATGAAACTGGTCGATCTGCTAAACCTGTTGGTGATGGACGAGTAATTGGTATTCTATTATTTTCTTCTAATATTGTTTCCATTTGTTCAATTTGTTCAACTATTTTTTTCTTAGTTGCTGCTGCTGTAATATAGATCTTCCATTTTTCTGCTTCTAATTTAAAATATTCTGTTTAATAATGTATATTACTTAAAATGTAAATATCTTCTTTCTTACTTTCTAAGTCTGTAGGTATGCTAGTCTTTCGTTCAAATTGTGCTTTATGTCTTAAAAAATGTGGATACTGATTGATTAGGGTCTTACTTGGTATTTGTTCGTTTATTGTATAATTATTACATATATTATTATTATCATTATTATTAATATTGTTTCTATAATTATTTTTCTTAATTTTTGATTTTATTGATAAAAGGTTGTTAGTTATATCTTGTTGTTGTTGTTGTTGATTTATTTGCTGATATATTTTAGATTTATTGTAATGATTTTTATTTTGGTTTAATTGTACAGAATAATCTATATTTGTTGGTAAGTGGTCATTTTTATCTATAGTAGAAAATGAGAAACTATTTTTTTTTGTTTAAAAAACCATCTCTGTAGTGCTGTTTCAATGAGAACACGACCTGATGTTATTGATGGATGTAGACCATCTTGATGCATATGTTGATGTTGTAGATTAGCATTAATAATTTCAAAATTCATTTCATTAGATAAATTTTTAAGTAATTGATTAAATTTTTTGTAATTTTTATCAATATCTAAAGATTTAAATAATTTCGAGAGTTTCCATCTTGGGGAAAGTGCTAGTCATCCGATAGTTTTTAGTTGAGGAAATATTTGTCTTGTGCGTTGAATTAAGAAACGACAAAGTTGAATAGCATTATCTGGTCCAAGATTAACAACATCGTTTGTACATAAAGAAAAAACAAGAAAATCAGTTTCTTTTATTATTTTATTTTTAATCCTTTTTTTGTTGTTTTTCTAAAAAATTGAGCATTCGACTGCAATCACAGCCTGATTCAAAAGATATATTTACCTGCATATTATTTGAACTTACCTTGTCAGATCGTACATATTTACACATTGAATCTGATAATATTAATCCATTAAATTTATTCTTATTTTCATTTTTATTTGATATTAGTAAATTATTTCCTTCATTTTGATTAACTTCTATTATGTGACATGGTAATATTGCTGATCGATTTTTATATTGTTCAGCATGTTGAATCGTACGACAATTACGACGTGATGGTTGTTGAAAACAATCAAGAGACATAAATGAAGGTATTCTCTTATCGTTTTTTGATAATTTATTCCCTCGACTGTTGGGAGGGTCATACGAAATAAAATGCGTTTGTTTGCTTGTTTGCTTGATTAGGGTCAAAAAAACATTTTTTTTCGAAAATGTTTTTAATGCCGAAACAGACTGTTTCAGAAAAAAAAATTTTTTCAAAAACACCTGAAATATTGTTGAAAAAAGATTTTTTTTCAAAAATAGGACTTGAGATGGTAACTTTGGCACTTTATAACTTTTGATAAGAATGATATATGGCTCTCAAATTTTTACTGCTAATAGGACACTGAAAGATGTATCTCTCCTGAAAATTTCAGCTATCCATACTGTTCCGTTTGCTCAAATCAGCCCCGTGAAAAACGGAATTTTGATAAATGTGGG